CCTCGTCGCAAGGAACCCAGAGTCGGGTTCCTCATGGAACCGAGGAACCCAGATCGGGTTCCTCCAGAGGAACCCAGAGCTTCTGTTCAAATTTTTTTTTTTTTTGGTGGGGGGACGCAGAAGTCCTGTGCAGTGGGCCCCACTGCACATGTGGTGTCCACATGTGCAGAAAAGAAGCCACATCATCAAAAAGCAAATCCACGTCTGAATTTAACGAATAAGGAAACGCCGCATGTGTCACGTCAATTTTTGGATGCCACGTAGTGCATTTTTTAACGGTACCGTGACGGTCCGTTAAAATGCTGGGTTTTTTACGGGTTTTGAAAGATGAAAGGTGTAAATAGGGAGAAAAAATTCGGGAAGGTGTTGACCGCAGAAAAAAAATAAATGGAGGGTGCAAATAGGGGCTTTGGCAAAAAAAAAAGGTCAAAATTACCAGCAAGAACATACTTGATTTTGTCTCAAATTAATTGTTATTTTTTTTATTTTTTAACATAAATAATTTTTTTTCTTACTTTAATACTATTATTATTCATTTATTTTAATTAATTATCTTATTACAAGAAAGTATCTTTTTATCTTTTAGTATTTTTCTTAATAATAAGACAGATAAATACATGAATTGTCTGAAAATTCTTAATTCAAGGAAAAAGTTAAAAAACAGTTATTTAAAAAAAAAAAAAAGAGGAAGTAGTTGCAATACAATAATATGACATAAGCATGTAAACTTACCATCACAATATTTATTAAATGAACGAATATATATTATTACATATAAACTCTTAAATGAAAAAAACTAATAATTATATAATAACATGTTATAATTGTAAATTTACAATGTCATGTGAGTATTATAACTATATAATTTTTATTAAAATTAAAAATTTAAACTTATGCAATGTTAACCAACTAGTACTCTCTATATTAATATAATCTTTTTGTTAAGAGCAGGTTGTTAACACTCTTTGATGTTTACTACTGAATTCTTTTTGTTAGAAGGAATGGACTTTGTATATGTAGTCGATACTGTTCTTAACATGTAAAAATAGTAAAATACACCTTGTGCTCCATATTAGTAATATAATTTTTATTTTGGCTGATAGAAAAAAAAAAAAGAAAAAAATGAAAAAATGAAAAAATGAAAAAAAGCAACTAACACCCTCCATATATCAAACAGATGAAATTAATTGAGAAAATTGAAAATCACCTATGCGGAATTTTGGGATCTTATCCAAAGACATGGGTTAGATGCAAAATAATTGTTTGAGAAAAATAATGCTTATTGAAACAACAACCTGGACATATAAAATTCAGATTGAGAAAATGAGAGGACGACATTCCCCTCCTTTTTATCCTTTTTGTTTTCCTTTTTAAAGAATAGGGTTCCTCCTTTTTATGTTTAATTTTTTAAAATTTTTTTGGGGTTTTAAGAACAAGGTTCCTTCTCATCAATGAGTGTAGAAGCATAATAAAAAATTGAGAGTGGATGAGTATCTTGCAGTATTCTCCATCTATAGCAGAATAATTGTTGTTCCTTCCAATAATGGGGAGGATGGAGGGATGTGGGGTTATGCTTATGCCTCTCAAATTGGCTGTAGGACCCTGTTCCAACCTGAAGGATGGACGACAAGTTTAGTTAAGTATTTCTTGATCTGGATTTTTTTTGGTTATAAGAAATTGAATGATAAAATCTGTGATTTAATTATTTTGGTGTGTAAGGGTTATTAGAGTACCTTTTATTCTCTCTTAATAAGAATTTTTTACTATTAAAAAATTTAAAATTTGTAGGTAAATTATGTCTTTATCTATGTTACTCTTAATAAAAAAATAAAAATAAAGAAAAAACTATAAAGTTAAGCAATAACAATTGAGGTTAAAACAGAAAAAAAAATATTTTCTACTTTAATTTGTGACTAATTTTAAGTAAAATTTGACATTTATTTCAAAAGAAAGAATAGTACAATGTTTATTGGTAAAAAGGGAGTTAATTAATTCCCCATCAATCTTATTGCAGTATACTTTTTTCATCTCATAATAATTGGTGTTTTTTTTTATTATGCACAAATATTAAAAATTGTAATTACTCTATTAATATGATAAATTTAATATTAAAAAAGTGAAAATTAAAATTCCTTAATATTAATCACAACCACATGATGAAAATAAGTTAGCTGGGACCTACACTATATATTTCACTAGTTTTATAGCTATGATTGGATATGGTGACATTTTTAGTATTAAAATATCCAAATTTCCATTTCCTTATTCAATTTTCTTTTTCTTCTATAACTACAGGCGTAAGATGAAAAAAAAGGAAAAACAAATAATATATCTTAAAATTTGAAATGACAATAAAATTAAAAAAAAATTATACATAAAGAGACAATAATTATTGTGAGATTAATTGATGAAGTAATGAAGTCTTACGATCATTGTTGTCAAAATCTCGATTTAAATCTTAAAATCTTATGATTTTACGATTTAAACAAGACATTTCGTGTAAAATCTATACTAAAATCTGAAATTCATAAAATCTGGGGATTTCATCAGGTAAAATCTCGATTTTACTTTCTGTTTGGCAGCTGGACTTTTAGCCTATTTCTTTTGGGCTTCTTATATTGGGTTAGTGGGTTTTGACTAGATAACCCATAAATTAAGCTCATTTTGCATTTTAAAAGCCCACAACCCACACAACCTTACCACAAATCAACATTTTAATCGGGAATTCGGGATAAATTTGATTTAACCATCTAAAATTCTAAATTTAAGTCATCTT